TTTGTTTTCTGCCTTCTATAATTTTCATGGCAGGTTACTAAGCGAAATACAACCACAACGTTGCTGAGATATTCGCAAAAGTCTGGACCGCAGGTGTCTATGGTGGGAAACGAACGCGCTATTATCCTTTACGGGGAGTAACGCGTCCACCACCACACCATGCAGGTCCTTCGTTTCGCCTGTCTGTCAGCCATAGCTTAACTGGGTTCTATGCCGATTTGCGCTCCCCAGATCAACCCCGCTGACGGGTGATTGCTGTGGCAAAAAGATCGATAGAAATAGCTGAGAGACAGGCGAAACGAAGGACCCGCATGGTGTGGTGGTGAACGCATTACTCCCCGGAAAGGATAATAGCGCGTTCGTTCCCCACCATAGACACCTGCGGTCCAGAGTTTTGCAAATATCTCAGCAAAGTTGTGGTTACAAGAACACATATGGAAACGTTAGAAAAGAAGAGCTAAGTTAGAGCAGTTTTACGCTTCATAAAAAGCTGATGCCAGCAGCAAATTCATTCTACACTGAAAACGAGAAACAAAGCTTCCTAAAGCATTTCCATCAAAGACATTCACTTCCCTTAAAAAATATTTCATACCGAAGCAAGCGAAAATGATAGTTCTACAAACGACTATTAAAAAAGGATAAAGCTTTCGGCGTTAATCAATCTCTGAGGGTGCGCCGCGCACTAGACTTCATTGAGAATCGCTTGGAGATGACTGAATGCATATCTGGCTTTTACAATGACTCGCGGTGGCCAGCCGATGTATCGAGCCCGTTCTGCTGTCCCCCCAGACAAGTCTGGTACCAATCTGCCGATCCCTAACGGAGAGAAGGTTTGATGGGCCAAGGCGCTGGAAACGATCCCATGTGTATTGATTGCAGGGCGCCTCCGACCATTGCGCCACACGCGCTCCTTGACAAACGATTATTAGGTGACAAATCTCAAAAGCAAAAAAGATTCGCATTTGGAACGTGAGGTACTCAAAGGGGAAAGACGTAGAAGCGAGTAAAAAAAGAGATTAAAAAAGAATGGAAAGAAATATGTTGGTCGTTCGAAGAACGTTAACTTCATTAATTTTCGATGAGTAATAGGAAAACTGGTGCTAAGCATATTTCTGCTTAGACTTTAACATAGAAGAAAATGTAAAAGAAAAAAAGAAGGAAGGGCTGATAAAATAAAAATTTCGGAAATTGAATCAAATGACTGTTGAGAAGATGAGAAGTTAAGTAAGCAGGTGGAGATTACAACAAAGTTTTGAATGAGGCACGACGAGGTGAGAATTGAATGAAACAGAAGTGAATAACAATGCCAATAATTTATAAACAACTAGATATTTGGACGCTTGGAGGCCCCGTCCTCATTGGTTGTGTGGGCTCGAGCATAATCACCATTTTTGAGAGATTTGCTAGATTAGCCATGATGTTTCCCTGGAGTTCTGAAGTCAGCGTGGCCAAAGTCCCCATGCCGTCACCACCACAGACAGTCGCTCACAGCCCTTGTCGATCAGAGGAAGATTTGCCACCATACGACTACTTTGATATTAGGATCCTGGTACTGGTTCACTCATAGTTAGGATTTTTTACGAAAACGCCGGACTCCTCATCTTGGGAGACCCAGCCGGGGGTGTGGATCTCTCCGCTGTACTTCGCAGCCCGACACTCAGGAACACCTCCTAGCCACGATGGGGCGATAAACTACTGCGAGGATAAGCAACTAGATATAGTTAAATACATTCGAATTGAATTGAGCTTTGATTGGTAGTTCCGTAAACAAAAATTAACAACAACCTATGAAAAACTTTTATTCACCTTACGTTCTCGTTATCACAGCACGGCGAGCAGTTAATACCGTCCTCTTCAGAGTTCGTTCGAGATGGTTGTTGTCTGAAACGCCAAATTATAATTGACAATTAGTAAATAACAACGACAAGAAAGCAAGAAGTAATAATTTGTAATAAAAATGAATAAAAAGAAAATTATAATACAATTTCAATCAATTTTTCTCTTTTATTTGTCATCATAATTACTAGGTAGACCTCAGCACTCCTTGCATCTTAATTCGTTTCCTTGCACTCATCGTTCACGAAGGTCGTCGAACTTCTTGTGTGTGGGTTCAGTTCTTGCTTCAGGATTTTTTTCATCTTTGTTACGAATACCGTTGAATGCTCTCCGAGTCGGTTCCTACTGAAGTCATAGGACCTTCCGGTTAGAGCATTCCCACGCGAAATCGAGAAAGTGAATTGTAGTGGATAAGAAATCATCCTCATTGGTAGTCACGTAAAATGCGGTGGGTCTTTTGAGAACCTGGTGATCATGTAATTGCCATGGAATTTCTCGTCTTTCTGTATGTGATATTGAAGCGGTGAAAAAAGCTAATAAATCGTATATCAGTATACCCTTCCAGGCTTTGAAAAAGGTGATACTGCCGAAGGGTCAGCTACTGCTGTATTGCATTGTGTATTTCTCTATGGAAGCAAATGTATGGTGTATAACAACCTCGCGATTGCTGAACAAGAAAACGACGCATTCATAATCCAATGCCGAGGTTAATAGGAAGTCGATCCTGGAAAGTGAATTGTCCGCAGACAAACCCGGAACTAATTTCTCGACCCCAGATGGATGAGAGACTTTGTGAGCATCACCAAGCGTGAAGCGTCAACTTATATTAGTTAGTAATACAACTGTAGTAAATAATGATTTGGATAATAATAGTGAAACAGAAGCAAAGGATGATGTAAGAATGAAGTGGTAAAAATGGTAATGATAATAATAATAATTTATAAGGGTTAATAATAAGTAGCAATAAATGGTGACTAACGATTTATAATAATTAATAAAAGTAATTGATGAAAAAACAAAGACAGTTCTTTTCGAATATCTCGAAATCATATGTTGTGACGTCATAATCGGATCTGAGGAATTTTTCATTCTATTGGCCTCCTCATATCCATTACCCACAAAGGCTATGGGATTTTTTGCCTGTAGGTTCGGCCTCAGGACTTTGTATTCTTTATGAATGTCGCTAAATGGCGGTCCGGAAGATTCTCATTGTAATCTTACGATACTCCTGCTAAAGCCCTTCCAGTTCTTTACTACAGACATTCGCCAACCTTCAGGGGTAGGTAAGAGTTCACTCCAGGTGCATCTCTTTCGGATTTTACGATGCATAAGGGATGGGAGGTCTAGTTGTTCTGGAGCGGGCCGAACCATAACCTTGAGCGTATTGGGCGGCATCAGCATCACTGCGATACCCATGCCCTTTAATAATAGCAACGATGGTAAACAATGATTTGGAGCAGCGAAATGGTATAATAGAATTTCTTTATGTGCCGAAAAGAAAGACTAGTGCACACCTCTGGACTGCAAACGGATTCCGATGCGGTTGAACTCCAATGGGATAAGCTGGCCCATTTGCTATGCTCGGACCTGAAATTGATTGTGAGATGGTAATTTTCAACAAATTCTATGCTAAGATTTGCACGCAGTGGGTTTCCAAAACTTTCTGAGGACTTCTTCACAACGTGATAGAACACTGGATTTTCTAAGAAATGAACATGGAGTATTCTTGTTTTTTAACATTGAAGTTCATATTTTTAGAAACAAAGGTTGGACTTTCTTACACTTTCGACTAATGGTGGTATTCCTTGAGAAAATTGCTGAAGAACAATTGTTATTCCTGATGAAACTTTCTTTTACATCTTTATGTTCTGCCTGCCATTGTTTAGCTTCAAGTGGAGGTTGTTGTAACATTCAAAACACAAGAAAAAAATGACAAATAGTAATAACAATAAGTGCAGAAAAACGAGTTGACCTGGCTCGGGTTGAGTCGTCGCCATGCTACGGTAATAAGGCTCGTGATAGCCAGGACCCTGACATGGACTGAACAACGGGCGACGTTCGCCGTACTGCGGTTCGTAGTAGGACGAGTTCGATCCTGAACCGAAGAAAATTGTGAATTCACGGCATAATGACATTCTCTGCACTACGCATTAACGTAAAGATCATTACAATACTAAAAGAATAAGTAGTTAGACAAATAAATAAATGATATATATGCTGAAGAAGGCATGAATGCCGCAGATTATGTCCATTAACGCCCAATGGTTTACCACCTGATCGTGGTAGAGCACGTTTCTAGGTGTCAAAAAGTGATATACAGCAAGCAGTTGGTTCATCCCCTTTGAAGGATCTCGCAAAACAGAAAATAGTACGACTCACCAAGAAAGAAGAACAGAGGACGGTAAATGGTAGCACAAAAATATACCGAGAGAAAGTGAATGACTCCTGATTCAAAAACAAACGCCGCCATCAAAGATAAAAATTCAAAGGTTGTCTTCGTCGTGTGTTGTAGCCGGTTCGGAGAGAATTAGACCCGAACGTGTGAAGAACCTACCGCAAGTTTTACCAACGTATTGCCTTGGCTTGTGATATGTTACTTTTCACCACGCAAGGCTTCTATTCAGTGGAAAACCAGCAAGACCGTGTTATCGTTGTAATAGGACAATTCCACGGTATTGGCTACTATCGCCCAATCCCAGCGCTGTCTTTCGTCTACAAACTCTTTACTCGAGTCCTCCTGAGCAAGATTTAAGAACAGGCGGCCATATTAGCAAGTAGAGGTTCGAAAATGATTCAGTACAATGGACTACAACCACATGATACCACGACTCATCGAAGGATCGCAAGAGTACGAAGTACAGCTCCGTTTCACTTCATCGATTTCAGGAAACCTTTAAACTCAATTGACGCAGAAGCAGTCATGGAAGCACTGGACAAGTAGGTTATCGTTACAAAGCAAGCATATGAACTTACAGCAGGTGTGGAAATATTGGTCATTGGCTGAATCGCAAGAAAGCGGTGTTTATGACAAAGAAATTCATTTGTGAAGATTCAATCTTTAAACCGTATTTATCAGAAAGAAGTGGAGGTTTGCGCCACATTTGTGCTCTAGCGAACGAACAACTTTGAATGCTCGAGTTTTCTGAATCATGTTCGAAAATTCAACACTATGTGATGGATGATCCTGCTAGAGAGTTTGGTAAGAGAGAACGAGAACATTGCGAAGCATACAATAAAACTGAAGACGTAAGGAAGAGGACAAGTGACATACTGATTCGGTCTTACCCTTTCAGTTCATTCTTCCTGGATTAATGCTGGTCTCAGAAGGTTCTATACTAAGTAATCAATCTGAAAACCGGCCAGACTTATCAAACGTCAATTGAGAGAAATGCTAGGATCATTCTTTATCACACAAGTGACAAGAGAAATGCAAGCTTCCAAATCCCGTCAAAGGCAAAAGAGCGAAGATGCCACTGCATAAGCCAAGTTGATGAAAAATAGGTGGCCATGACAAAGTGCTCCTGATGACAATCGGTGGCCAAAAACTGTCGGCAAATGATTGCACGGAATGTTAAGTGCGTAAAATAATCACATTGTCCAGTCGGTTCATTGCCGAGATCATAAAGAAAAATATGGTACTATTCATGGAGTTGATGAAATAAAGCACAACAGGCAACTCTGGCACGTGACGAGGACGAACGAATGCCTTTTAATCACAGCTTCAGCCACATGACGAATTCAGGAAAAACAAGTGACACCGGTCGTATATTTCAAATAAAAGAAAATTTTCAGGAAATGCACAAACATAAGGTTCTACAAGCTACTACAGATGACAAAAGAGAGCACAGAAACTCTCCTGTCTTATACATAGACGAGCCAATTCACGAAGGATATTGTGGAATCCAGAAAAAATTTTCAATTGTCTGTTATTCTACTGGCTGGGCTATTCCTTATTAGATGGAGTCTCCAAAAACTTTTGCCAAGCCATTCCCAAGTTGTCATTACGAAAAGTCACTGGCCTATGTAAATCGCAAGCTTAGAATGTAGCGACCACGGTTCTTTTTTTAATATGAAGAAAATTTCCACCACTGGTTTCCTCTTAAGAATTCGGGGAGAAAAATCAGACCCTGGTTTCCTCTTAAAAATTCACGGAAGAAATATCAGACCCCACTTAAGGGTTGGTGATTTTACCTCTGTAGATCAGAACAGAATTGTGGCCAACTATGCTTACAGGCAATGATTTTCTCTTCCACAAAGAATTTATTCACACGATTCTAAGTCAAACGCAACGATTGTCAGCATTGGAAAGAAAATTCGCTTCCTTTTGCAAACATTTTGTTGGTCATATAAAGAGTTAATTAGAAAACTGATTCGAGCTCAACACGACAGTAGTCTTCTCACTGGTATTTCGGCTTTGTTATTGATATATATTGATCTATGCCTTGTAAGATAAATACTGAAATAAAGAAACAAATGCAAACAAAAAAACCAAGGCAAAAATCCAGTCAGTCAAATAAATTCACAGATATGTCCATCCAAACATCGGAATCATGAAAGTTTTTGTTATATTTCTACATAGATAACACAATACATTGCTGTTTACTCGTACCAACAAATTGTAATTTGAAAGGAAGACGAAGTCGGCAACAATTACTGGCAAAAAAGCAACTACAATCACAAAATGATGTGAGAAAAATGTTCGAAGTTAGTATGAATGGTTTTTGATGACCAGCACGTCGTTTGTTCGTCGACGACTCGATCGTAAAAACGTTGTGCGTGGCTTAAGCTCCTCGTCAGCGCCCCGGGAACATATGTTTCCTCCAATGTAAAGCACACTCATAAACTAACAACAACCTCCGAAATCCCCAGCTTGCATCACATACAATGACATTTAACATCATGAAACTCGCATCTGTTTTTTATTGCTGCCGAATGAGTGCTGAGCGCACAATAGCTACGTAGGAATAACGATGACGCTCATTTTCTTGTCCGTGATTGCCCACGTGTACGAATGACCTCATGGAGCACTTCGTTACCCAGCAAATTAACATTTTACGTCTCCTGTCGCTTTGGAGAAGTTGCTTCAAAGCACTACCCAGGTTTATCATCCACATTTGAGCCAAGTGCTTTTATAAACTCTTCTACAAAGTTGAACTTTAATTATGTAATGAGACAACACGATCGAAATCAATGTCTCAGGAATTTTGAACTCTTTTCTGAAGCCCTCGCCTAAGAAGGAAAATCTAGAGGCTAGTGCTAATAAGGAAATTTATAGGAACACCATATAAAGTCACATACTACCAGGAACCTTCACAAAGTGAGCCTATCTATAGAATTATAAAAAAACGATATGAGTGAAAATACTTGCAAAATAGAAAAGAAAAATCATGAAATTAAAGGTTACAAAGTTGAATGCAAGTTTAATAGTTGGGAAGTGTAATCTTTCCCGAAACTGTAACTGGTATGATAGACATGATGCATTCTCGACTTTCTCGATTACTGATCGATTCAGGCATAACTGTGGTGCGATAGTCATTTGTCGTTTGTTACGAAAAGGTAACACTGCGTATTTGAATCGAAGCCCGGATTTGGCAAGAAAATGAAAAGGATGTGGAGAACAAATGCAGAATGGATTGTGAAGAAGAAGAGGAAAAACAGTGTAAACAGGAAGATTTCGGGGAAAAAAGGAGAGAGTGTATGCAAAGACAATGGAAAATGTTAGCAGAAAAGTTAAAGGCGAAAAGAAAAAGGAGTATAATGATAACTGAAACACAATATTATCAAAAGTCCTATATTTCTCAACTCCGCTTCCTTAGAAAAGAATTGTTGATCGCGTATTTGAGGGATGTACACTTCTCAAAAACAATGGAAGGGATAATGTCAAAACCAAAATGATCTTCCTGAACCTCTACTAAATGTCACTCGGTGATTAAACAACAATGCCGGTGATACATGAACCATTTCCTATAGGCAGTTCTAAATTTATTTTGCTAATGATAGTCATTTTTATTACTACTGTACTATATTCACTAACTATCAATATAATCGTATAATCTCTCGTTGCCGCATAACAAAATATTTTAGCTCTGTCTTTATTCTGAACTCAATTAGTTATGGCATGGCCTGGGCCAGTCGTGTGCAGAAATGTGAGAGATATGTTTGGCTAGGTCACAAAATTGGGCAATTAAACCCTTTATATAAATACCACAAAACTAACAATATGACGAGGATAAAAATCTACTGAGAGTACGCAGGAGAACAGATCAGCTTCAATGAATCAATGGAAGGAGATTATAGTTCCCAAGATCGACTTTCTCTTAACCTCGGCATTGGAATATGAATGTGTCGTTTTCTTGTTCAGCAATCGCGAGGTTTTTAAACAGCATACATTTACTTCCATAAAAACACAATACAATACAACGCTAGCTGACGTTTCGGCAGTATCGCCTTCTTCAGAGCCTGGAAGGGTATACTGATATACAATCTACTAGGCCAAACGCTTCAATAACACTTACAAGAAGACGAAAGACTCTTTGGTAATTACACGATCAACAACTTCTCGAAAAACCCACCGCTTTTTTCGTGACTTCCAATGAGGAAGTTTAGAACAGCTGATTATAGTCGCATGTGGTTGACGACTGCACCATCCCACATCAAAAATCGATGCGAACGTACGAGATCAGGTCGCGTATGATCTCCGGGCATTCGTCCCTGCTATTCATTGTAGGGCTTTTGGCATTGATCCAAAAAGCCTCAAGGAGTTTTCGCGCTGGTGTTTTGGACTCCTGTGCAAGGATATTGACTTTCACTTCAAAATCGTCTCCGCTATGCTTTTGTATCCTATGCGTGCCTAGTGGGGTGCTTCGTCTTAGTTTTCGTTTGCCATCTAGGTGTTCTTTTATACGGATACACAAAGGTCTGCCCGTTTTGCCAATATATTCATCTCCGCAATTGTTACACGAGATCAGTTATATCGTACCTGAACTCATG